GGGGGGACATGCAGATCTGTCCTCGCAGAGGAGGGAGAGCTTGTACGTGAACAAAACTTGGTCCTAAAGGTGCCACTGGACTGTTTTGGATGGCTAGCTGGGGGGGGGACGCGCAGATCTGTCCTCACAGAGGAGGGAGAGTTTGTACCTGAATAAAACTTGGTCTTAAAGGTACCAATAGACTGTTTTGGACTGGGTGGCCGGGGGTGGGGGGGCTCTGCAGTTTACCCGGCTGCTTCTTGCTCTGACTGAGGGCTGCTGGGAGCAGGGGGTGGGGCTTGTTTACTGCCGGAGCTCTGCTCCTGTGCGCTCCTGCAGGAAATGACCCCTGGTCTTTCCTCTCAAAGAGACTGCCCCTGGAAATTCTTACTGCTCAGGGAATGGGGGAGCATGAAACAGCATTCATGCTCTGGAGAAGTGCTAAGGGTTCAAAGCACTGACCATAGCTGCACAATCCTCACTACTATTTAGAAACAAGATGGTCTTATCCCCGTTTTAGAGATGGAAAAGGAGGGGAGGCTGAGAAAAAGCTACTTGCCTCCAGTCATCATCCTGCAAGTTATCAGGGCATCAGCTAAAGGCTGAACAAGTGAGAATTCCCAGCTTGCAACATATTTTCTTAGCTTGTCCTATTTGTGTTTGTTGGCCCTCCAGGGCAACTGACCTATGTCCAGAGGAAGGCAAAAAACCTCCAGGATCCTTGGCCAATCTCACCTGGAGGAAGATTCCTTCCTGACCCCGAAGTGGTGATCAGTATTAATTTGGGCATGTAAAAAAAGGGCCACAAGAACCAACTCGCCCCTTTTTGCCTTCCCTCTCATGATCTGGCTAGAAAATGAGCTCAGTAAGCTAGCCTGTGGTTTTCTGCCATTTGCCTTCACAGCTCTGAAAGGCAGGATATTGTTCTCATTTTAGAGGGACTGGGGAATTGAGTCTGAGAAAACAGAACCAGAAGGAAATGATTTATACAACCCAGAGCAGTGCTGCAATTTTTGCCAAGATATGCCCATTTCAGTCCAAAGGTGCACATCTGAATACTCTCCTGTCGAACTGAAAATTTCTTCCTAAATATCTGAAATTAGTTTGCCAGGAAAGACTGTTCTTGCCTGGCCTTCTCTTGAACCCACTCATTTCATATCTACAAGAAAATGTTTAATATGGGAAGTAATTCCAATGTGCAGTCCAGCCTGAAATGCAGTTTGGGGAAAGCGTGACTGCTCTGGCCGTTTCTTTTGCTCATAACAATCTGCTTGCATTTACCCAAAGAGCTTCCGGGATGGACCAAGCAGTGCCCCAAGTCATAGCTCTCCGGAGATCGGACTACAGGGACCCTCCAAATGCCCTACTCCTGCCGTTCATTTCTCCTGGTGTAAAGGTAAAGGTTCCCTTGCTAGAAAGCCAATCAAATCAGACTCTAGGGTTGCGGTGCTCATCTCCGTTTCAAAGCCGAAGAGCCAGTGCTGTCCGAAGACGTTTCCGTGGTCATGTGGCCGGCATGACTGAACACCAAGGCGCACGGAACGCTGTTACCTTCCCACTGAAGTGGTACCTATTTATCTACTTGCAATTTCTTGCTTTCGAACTGCTAGGTTGGCAGGAGCTGGAACTAGAGACGTCATGCGGCACCCGGGTCTCGAACTCCTGAACTACTGACCTTCCACAGCCTGCAGTTCAGTGTCTTAACCACTTGAGCCACCGCAGCTCCAAGTACACTTAAGTCACCTCCAATTTATGGCAACAGTATGAATTAATAGCCTCCAAAACATTCTATTGTTAACTGCCTTGCTCAGGTCTTGCAAACTGAGGGCTGCGGCTCCCTTGATTGAAGAATTTTCCAGACCGCAGCTGCCTTTTGGGTTTTTGTGGGTGTCACGGCGGAGCCGATGAATGCACTAATAGCCAATGACCGCACCAATAGCTAATGATCGCACTTACATGTTTTCCCCATTTTTTCCCCCATCACAGTTCCATCTGTTCACATTAAGGATTGATTTTTTGCTTCCCCCCCAGGGTTTTTTTGCAGCCTCAAGGTTGCTGTGCAATCCCCATTAAAGTACATTCCCCGCCCATCATACTACAGCTGAGGGTCATTCCTGGTGTATGTGTCTCACCCCTTATTGGCTGCTTTTCTTCCCACATTTGAGCCCTCTCTCTGATTGGCTCCCTCCAAAAAACATTGAATTCCATCACCTGACTTGCACCAGGTACACAGCTCCAGTGACGTACCTAGCAGATATGGCACCCAGAACTGATAGATTTTTTTTAACACCTCCTCCCCCATAAAATGAAATTGTCCAGGTCAGGGTTCAAGTGGGCTTACTCCCATGAACTCAGTGGGGCTTACACTTGAGTAAGCATGCATGGAGAGGGGCACTTCCAGGACAAGCACCCAGAGCCCTTCCTTGGGGGAGAGGTTCCACGAAAGCGCCCTCCTGGCTTTGCTCTGCAGAGCCACCAACTTCGGGCGGAGTGGTGGCTGCTCTCCCAAGAGAAACTTGGCGCACACAAACACCCACCCCTCTGGATGTGTCTTTGGCCAAACAATATTCATTCATGCTTCCATGAGGGCCAAGGGCTCCAGGCTTTTGACACGGGATAGTCCTACTGAACGTCTTGAAATTTACTGCCATCAATGCATACATAAGACAGATCAGGCTGCAGAGAAAACAAATGGGCAAGGATTGGCTGCTAGTGCCAGGCCTCCAAGTGGGACTGGCGGTTTGTTTCAGCACAGGCGCCCTCCAGCACTGAAACGCTTCAGCACTGGCATGCAAATATATATTAAGAAAAAGTTTGCCATGGGTTTTAGGCAGCAATCCACAAGGCAGGAAAAATGTTCAGATTACGAGGAAGAGACTATCTTAGGAAAGAACGTGGAAAAAACAAGGAAAGACTGGGACAGCGTGGGGATGTTAATGAAGTTGTCTGGACACAAAGAGGGGGGGCAGTAGCATCAGGGAATTAAAATGAAACATTAAGACAATGTGGAAAACATTTGAGTCCATCCATCTCCTGTTTGGCTTTCCTCTTCTCCTGCCGCCTTCAACTTTCCCTAGCATTATTGTCTTTTCCAGGTACTCTCATAATGGGAACAACATGATAGCCTCAGTTTGGTCATTTTAGCTTCTAGGGAGAGTCCAGGCTTGATTTGGTCTAGAAATGGGAAAGTGGCAGGACTGAATTCCAGGCAACTCTGAGTCTCCTTGTTGATATTAAGAATGGGAAGAAAAGGCCACGGTGAACGTCAGGTACTGTCAGTTTAGTAATAGCAGGGCTGCACTCCCCTCCCAAAGCTTGGACCTTCCAAACCTTTAAAAATAATAAAGGTTGGTGGCCTTCCTTTACAGAATGCTTTCAAGCAAGGCAGGTAGGGTTGCCAACCTCCAGGCGGGGCCTGGTGATCTCCTATTATTATTATTGATCTCCAGACATCAGAGATCAGTTCCCCTGGAGAAAACGGCTGCTTTGGAGGGTGGTCTCTATGGCATCGTACCCTGGAGGGGGGACTCTATGGCATTATACTCTCCACTCCCCAGGGGTTGGGATGCTCAGTCAGTCTCTGTGTAAATTGCTTTTGCATTCCTGTCTATGTTTTGCGCTGGAATGCTTATCTATAACGATGTGCAGGTGGGAGTGTGTGTTGTCTGCCTTTCCAGGCAGCCATGGGAGCCGGACAGTTCCCAGCTTCGCCTAGAAACAGTTTGCTGGCTTTAGACCACACGTGGGAGGGTGCCTAATTGGCCAGCGCAGTGGGGTGTGTGCATACGAATGCTCTATATCTTATTATGTCCAAGGGACAACTGCCATTCTTAACAGTGACTATGTTAATGTATCTATAGCTCTTCAATAAAAGTATAACCTTTCTTGAAAGTGTGTACTCCGTTGTTGGCTGTGGGTTCTGACACCACCCTCCCCAGGCTCCAGCCTAGGGCTGACAGATCCATGTTGGGGAGTTCCTGGTGATTTGGGGATGGAGCCTGGGGAGGACAGGGGCCTCAGTCATCCGGTACGGTGTCATAGAGTCCTCCCTCCAAAGCATCCACTTTCTCCAGGGGAACCGATCTCAGCGGTCTGGAGATGAGCTGTAATTCCAGGAAATCTCCAGTCCTCACCTGGAGGCTGGCATCCCATTCCACACACCTGTCTCCAGGATTTTCTCAGGGCGGGCAACCCTAGCTCAGGCAGGGCCAGGGGGTCCTGCTTCGTCTTTCAACAAGAAGGTGGTTTTGGCTGAAAGGACCGTTAGCTCTCCAGTAAGGAAGATGCCCTGCTTTTCTTTGGGGCCGCGCCTCTTGCAGCTTCGGGAGGGGGGGGGCGGCGGGAATAAAAGAAAAGCCACTCGACACGCGCTCAGTCAGGGGTTCTTCTCCGAGCCCCCCCCCCCGGTTTGTCTCCAGACGGGCGGGGCCGAGTGGGCGTGGCCAAAGGAGGAGGCGAGGGCGAGGCGTCCAGCCCGTGCCTCGTGCGGTACCTTTTCCTGACCTCCCCGGGCTGCAGGTGCGGCGCGCGGCGCCTTCGCCCGGGTCTCCCCCACTTGTTGCCAAAGCTCAGCTCTTGCGCGGCGCGTAGCCGGGCGGGGTCGGCCGAGGGTCGGCGGCGCTCCCTGCGTGCAAAGCGGGTGGTGGGCGGAGCCACCCGAAGATGGCAACGGCGAGGGGGAGGGCGGCGTCCCCTCCCCGGCGGAGCCCGTGGGCGCTGCCCATTCTCTCCACCTGGCAGAGCAGGCGGAAGCGGGAAGGCGGCGGAGTGGGCTGGCTGGCTGGCTGGCTTGGGCGCCGTGCGTGTTGGCGCTGGGGGTCCGCGGCTTCCCTCCCTTCCGTGCCTCGCTGAACTGGGCGCCACGATACCCCGAGAAGACGGTTCGGCTCCGGGGGCTGCTTGCATCCGTGATGTGCTGAACAGACCGGGGTGGGGAAGCAGTTTTGGAAACTCCCGGGGCCTTTTTGTTGCTCCACCTGGTGGTTTTTTTCCCCAGCCCAGCCGTTGAGCAGGCAAGGAGCCCGAGGGTGGTGAGTACATCTGGGCAGAACGGCAAGGGCGGCAGCTCATGTGGGGAGAAGGAGGCAGCTCTGCCATCCTTCTCGGGGCGGTTACTTGCGAGTCTCCAGACTGGCTTCTGCAGACTCGAGGCTCGGCTAGGCTTGCAAGGGGACCGTCTGATGCACGCGTGTGCAGAGGGTCCAGCGATCC